TGAGAGTGCACGTGTGAACGCGTGTGCGCGTGTGGGTGTGTACATATGTGGGAATTTGTGTATACGAGTGTGTGCTCACCTTTGTGTGTCCATGTTTGCATGTACGGCTGCATGTGTGTATGTGTCTGCTCATGTGAATGTGCATGTTTGCGTGCGTGAACAAGTACACACACATGCATGTGTGAGCACGTGCGTGCATCGGCATGTGCACGTGTTGGGTGTGCACACAGGCTCATGAGAGGGTGAACGTGTGTGTGTGTGATGTGCTGTGAGTGGGAGAAGTGTATGAAATCTTGTACACGCGTGTACGAGTGTGCGTGTGCACCCGTGTGGGTAGGTGGGGAGCGTGTGCAGCCCCACAGACGGGGCGGAACTGAAGGGGCCGAGACGGGCCTGTGCGGTGCTCAGATGACGGTGACCTTTGCGAGAGGAAACGGCCCCGCCGGTGCAGCAGCAGCCCCTCTGAGCGCTGGTTGAAACAGACAGACAAACAAGATAAAAACTGTTTTTTCATATTCTTCCAAAAATCCAGCAAAAACTCAACATTTTCTCTTTCAAACGGAAGAAACTGAGCACTCAGTTCCAGACGGTGGTCAGGTCAGTGAAACCGTCTGCCGCAGATTTCGCTCTTCGTGACTTTGGTGTGAGTTGTCCGGGGCCCAGTGAGCAGAGCGGGTGGCCGTCTGCTTCGAGCACCTGTCCCCCCGTCTCTGCCCTCAGTCTGTCCCCTCGGGGCCCCAGGGGCAGGCGTCCAGCCTCCCGGTCTGCAAGCGAGGGGGTGCCGTCCGGGATCCTGGGGACGTGGGGACACCCTCGTTCACCTGAGCTCGTCCACCCGTCAGACGGCCCGGCCGTGGGTGCCGTTGTCGCTGCTCACAGAGGTCCGGGAGGCCCCTCCCCTCGCGCAGCCGTGTGCAGTTACGGGAGTTACGTGAGCACGTGCTGGGAGCTCCCAAGGGTACAGCCGTGGTGTCTGCCTGGGCGCGTGTCCCTGTCTGGCTGTCCCGTGCGAGGGAGACACAGAGCAGAGCCTCGGCTTGTGCGGGACGAGCGTGGGAGGCAGAGGCCCCAGGGCGAGGGCGCGTGCACGGGGACGGGCTCTCAGGTGGGAAGGGGCTTCGCGAGCGCGCAGGCGGCGTTGGCGCCAGAAAGGACGAGGCGGCAGGGTCGTGCGGAGAACACGGGAAAGGGAGCAACGCTGTTTATTGTGGGGAGAATGGGGCGCGGGTTTCTGTTTGCTGTGAGTTCATGACGGTGGGGCGGCGGCATCCCTGGGCTCACATGGTAGGTTTGGCAGTTGAACAGGTGTTAGAGGCACATGTGTATACATGCATGTGTCTGTACACGTATGCACACATGTGTACACGTGTTTTTGGTGGTGATCACGGCTGGTGATGGGGGCTGGAGAACCTGTTCCGTCTCCCAGTTTTCAGGCTGTGATTCTGTGGTTCTCCGACCGTGCGCACAACTTCCAGTAGCGGAATCAGGATCAAGGACGTTCGTGAAGTGCCAGTTCTGGGAGAAGAGAAGGACCCAGGTTCCGAGGGTCTCCCAGGCCCTGAAGCCCCAGCCTCTGCCACGCTGGGCCCCGCGGCCACGCGGACTGGCGGGGTGGGTGGCGGGGCAGCAGACAGGGAGCGGAAGGCAGCAGAGCGTTCATGGAGGCGCCGGGCGCCGTCATAGCCTGGGGGGCCCCGGCGGTGAGCAGCTGGGGATACCGAGGCAGGAGCCGCGGAAGGGCTCCGTGCGGGAGATGGGGCCTGGGGACGAGGCGCTCCGGGCAGCTGTAGGGTGACTGGACCGTCGGTCTGTGAGGCCAGTCGGGCTGTGTCCCTTCCCAGGGGGTTCAGAGCCCGGGTCGGTTAGAACTTTGCTCCGGCAGCTCTGCCGCGTGGGCCGCCCTCAGCCTCACGCCTGGATCTCGGCTGCACTGACGCTGTCCTGATTTGAGTTTCCTTGTTCGGTCCCTTGTCTGGTCTTTACTGTTTCCTCAGAAACTTCTCTCGGGCCCTGTGCACCAGCCGGTGACTCCGGAGAACAAAGCGGCGGTTTCTAAATTCCGGCCACTGAACAAATAATTTCTACCAAATGTATTTAGGAATTTCTTTAATTTTCAGTTTCACTACAAAGCAGGTTTCCACATTTGGGGAGATCCAGCAACTGTGGCCTCTTAACTTAGGGAGTGTGGCGGGGAACACGTGTGTGAGCTGCGGAGTCTTCCAGGCTCTGCTCTGGTCATGGTCACGTCAATGGGCCTTGCCGCTGGGCCTTTGTTAGAATGAAGGACACGCGTGCCATGGCGCCCTCTCACCGCGGCGAAAGATGAATTTCACTGTCGAAACGTGCACAGGATGTCACCACGTCCGTCACGACGGCCACACGTGGCGCACTGCAGCGCCGGTGCCACCCGCGTGTGAGCAGTGGGAGCTCTGGCTGCCAGCGCAGCCGCCGTGCGCCACGATCTGGCCACTTCCTGGAACGGAACATGCTCTTACCGTGCGACGCAGCAGCCACACTCGTCGGCGTTTACTCAGAGGGTTGGAAACTTCCGTCTGCGCAGAGACCTGCACGTGGACATTCACAGCAGCTTCATTCACAGTTGCCGGAACCTGCGGCAGCCAGGACGCCCTTCGGCAGGTGCGTCCGGACGATGGTCTTGCTCAGCACCAGGAAGAAAGAGCTCTCCCGCGACGCGAGGATGTGGAGGAAGCTTAAATGCGCGTTGTCGAGAGACAGACGCCCGTCTGGAAAGCTGTGTGCTGCGGGTTCCAGCTGTGGGGCACCCCGAGAAGGCAACTGTGGGTCGGTGACAGACCAGGGCTCGCGGGGGTGGGGGAGGGAAGGAGGAACAGGCAGAGCTCAGGCACACAGGACACGTGTCATCTCCGTCCGTCCAGACCCCCAGGATGTGCAGTGCCAGGGGGGCCCAGGCGAGCCGTGGACTCCGGGTGGTGACGTGTCCGTGAGCGTCCGCAGACTGACAGAGGCACCTCCACGGGCACTGACGGGCCGTGCGTGTCACAGGCCCGGGGAAACCTCTGCCCCCGCCTCTCGGTTTTCCTATAAATCCCAACTGCTGCGAGAGATAGTCTGTTAGAGACGCCCTGGGGACGGCGTCTGTCTCCGCCAGCCTGGGTGTGATCCGGGCAGAGAGAGTCAGCGGTTAGTTTATTTCAGCTTCCAAATGGTTAAAACAAAATTGTTAGCTGAAACTAATTCTCAAAGCACAAACGGTGCTTTGAACATACATATGTTCTATATGTGTTCTAAATACACATTTAGAAAAAAGGCTTTAAGAAAATGTAACGAATATCCTGAGAACATACTTACGGTATTGCATGCAACAAGCCAAATTTAAAGAATGATGCTCTTATGCTTTAGAAGAGAAATAATTGATCTTGGAACGTTCCAAAATCGATAGGAATTGTCTTTGGCCGTTTTTCTTTTGGAAAACCTGAATGACGTGGAGTCTCCTTGGGAAGGTGACTCAGCCCCTCCGGCCCCGCCCCGACCACAGCACTGGGGACCCTCCAAGGTGCGCGGGTGGCAGGCAGGCCGCGGTGCCGGGCACGGCCTCTCACGTCTGTGCAAGCGTGTGGGGCGTTCACGCCACAGGTCAAAGGCCCCGCTCCCCAGCTCAGGTCACTGGTCTCTGGTGAGGCCCAGCTGGGAGTCCAGGAACCCACTTCTGTCCTCCCGTGGCCTCGAGGCCCGGACAGGGGTCGGGCCCTCCTAATGCGCCATCTGCTTCCTGCGTCCCGCCTGCTACTCTACAGGGATTGCACTGGAGAAGTGGAATAAAAGTCCTGCGTGTTTCCAGCAGGTCCTCGTTGTCTCTCTTTTGCCCTCCCCCATGCGCGGAGCTCTCCGTGCTGGACAAAAACAAGGAGCAGGGGCTCCAGCTGCCGCCGCCAGGCACCCAGCGAGGGCAGGGGCGCCCCACCCTCTGGAACCTCCCCGGGGGCCGTCCCGGCTTTGTGTGGCCTTTGCACAGGTCACAGGGGCACTGGACGGAGGGCCGCGCGGTAGGCAGTGCGCAGGGAGAGCGGCAGAAGCCCGACCGCCCCAGGCATTGTCCGCCTGTCGGAGCAGCTGGCGGCGTCCTGCGTGTGCTCGGGCTGTGCGGAGCCCGTGGAGACGCAGGGTGCTCGCGGCACTTGAGATTATTCTCTGCCGCTCACGCGGCCCGTTGCTTGAGCGTACACGTAGTATCAGACCAGCAATTACTGAGCTGCCTGGCCCTGCAAATGTGTCTCTGCTAATTAAACTTGTTGCATCTGAATGGCTTTCTTCAGCCACACCGCGACGAAACGTTGCGAACAATAAAAGGAGCCATTCTCCCTTCCGCGGCCTGCGCAGCTGCCGCCCTGGGCGTGAGGCCTCGGCCTGAATCGGCCTTTTGTGAGCACCAAAGAAGGTGATTTGAATGTTGGGAGCCCCACAGGAAGCTGGTCTCAAAGTGAACAATTCACTGAGTAAAGACTAATTAGGGCCCAAATTAATTAGAAGGTGTGGTTTGAAAGGGTGTTGATGAGCAGTCTGTCATTTCAGACAAGCGGGACAGAGCTAAATAAACCAGCCCCCACCGACGCCGCGTGTTCCTGAGCCCCCCGCCCGAAAGGCTGGGGCCCCCCACGCAGCCGCGGGAAAGACCCTCCACGAACCCTCGCGGCTGCTGCAAGTTAATATTTACGTGTCCTGGGTGTCATGTTCTCCGTCGGGAGACCTGGCCCCAAATGCTGCTGACTTTAACTTTTGGTCAGAAACAAGTTTCACGCAAAAATGTGAAATTACAGAACGGAGAGTGGGCGGGAAAAGTGGGCTAAAAGCGCTCGGACCACGCTGGATCCGTGTCCTTCCTCTCTGCTTCGCAGTGTGTTTCCCGTGGGCTCAGTCCTGCTAAGGCAAATCGTCACTTCAAGGGCTCCGCGTCCCGACAGCGCGTCGGAACATGCCGCGAGGGTGCGTGGTGTCTTCCTGCTCTCTGGGAACGGCGTGTCATGCTCTCTCTCTGCCTTCCTCTTCTCACAGATGGCGTGTTCGGAAGGTGCCAGAAGTTTCCGGCAATAGACTTCCACCGCTATGAATTGTCCCCGGGGGCTCTGCAGCACCTGAGAGGCACTTGGCAGAAGCTCTCGCGCACAGGTAGGGCGGCTCCCCACGCTGGGCGCTGGTGGAGGCGCGGCTGCACCACGGAGCCTGGCCTTGGGTGGAGAGCAGCAAGGAGTGGCCGGTCGGCCGGGCCGTGGCGGGGGGGCAGGCTGGTGGGCGGAGGGTCCACGCTGCGGTGGCCGCGCTGGGAAGTGACGGGCCTGGGGCTGCGCAGAAGTCACGGCTCTTCCCACGCTGGAGCAGGAGGCCCCAGGCTGCCACGGCAGAGATGGCCTGGTCGGGGTGGCTGGGGTCGGTGGCTCCCCTTAGCCTGACCGGATCCAACTTGGGCGCCGACCGCCCTGAGAAAATCCGCCTCTCCTGTCGTCCTGCGGTTTTTGTTTTGCAACGTTTTTCCGGAGATTCCTGGTCCCTGTGTCCCAGGGTGCTGAGAAGGCAATCTTGTTTTATGCAGGGTGAGAGAGGAGAAAAAGGCAGCAATTTTATAATAATTTTTAAATAATAGTTACAATATTTTTAAATCATAGCTATTTTTATGATACACATAATTTATGTCATTCGTAATGGTGTTACGTGTGTGATTTGTAACACGCAGCCAGTTACTCACTGACACGCGGTTGTGGCTCCCCTCTTCCTGCACGGATGCCTGTCTGTGGCCCTGCGGGGGGCCGAGGCCGCGAGTGGGAGGTGGCCCCATGCCTGGGTCAGACCCGCATGATCTGCCCAGGGAGCCGGGCCTGGCGGTGGGGCCAGGGGACCGCGGCCTTGGGCTCCAGCCTGCCTGCGTTTCTAGGTTGCGGTGCTCTGAGGGTCCGCCAGGGCCCAGCAGAGAAGGTCTGTGGCCGAGTAAGTCTGGGGACGCGGCTTCCCCTGTTCTTCCGCTGGGGTGTTTGCAGTGGGCACCCCGAAGTCCTGCAGGGTGAACCACGTTCGTTCTTCCGTGTGGTCAGCCGGGGCACACCTGTTCCTGAAAGGCCACCTGTGGGGCTGAAGCAGAACCGCTGGGAGACCCGTGTGTGCTCGCGAGAGGGGCGCGTCCCACGGAGCTGTGGGGCTGGGCAGCCTCTCTCAGGCTGGCGTCCACAGGGCAGGCTGCGCGGCGGGGAGCGTGGCTGTGCGGTGGGGGCTGGGCAGGCCGTAGCCCCTGGGGTGTGGTCCTCAGGACTGTGGCCGCAGGGTGAGGGTGTCCTGCTGCCGTTCCCCAGGAGAGGACGGGGCTGTCCTGGGCATCCTTGTCCCAGTGGACCTGCACCCCTCACGATACCCGTAGCTGTGATGGGGGGCGCAGAGCGAACCGTGCGAATGTCGCGGACAGTGATACGTTAACACGAAGGCAGTGACGCGCCTCACCTCAGAGCGCGAGGGGACGGGGGAGGGAACACGCAGCCGTACCCGGTCATTCCTCGTGTGCACAGCGTGCTCGCGTCGGAATGAGGAGAGACGCTCGCAACCCGACAGCCCGTCTCCGCGTGTTGAAATCTACCTTCCTTGGCACGTCCCACGCCGCCTTTGCCCTCGGTGAGAAATCCCGCCGCTGCTCACGCTCCGTCCCCTGCCGGCGGGTGGCGCAGACCTTCCCTCCTGCCCGGCCCTGGCGTCCCTGCGTGAGTCGGGTCCTCAGGGCTTCTCACGAGACGTGGGGTGCGGAGAGGTTCCCCGAGTTCCTGACGTCGTTCTCTGGAGCCCCGCTGTGCGGTCGGTCAGGGCCACTGCTGCGTCCCACGCGCCCTCCTTCGCCTGCGGACTCGGAGGCTCCAGGCCGCAGGGCACGAAGTGGGGAACAGGAGGCAGCGACTTTCCTGGTGGGCGGGGGAGGGGGTGATGGTGATGGCGCCCCCTCCCACCCCTGCTCCCGCGCCCGCGAGTCCTGGCCGTGGGAGGACGGCCCAGGTGTCGGCAGTGAGCAGAGTGCGGCAGCCTCCTGGGAACCGCGTCCTAGCCTGTAAGTGTCGCCGCCCGGCCGGCCCTGTGGCCGCAGCCTCAAAGCCTCCCAGCCTCTGACAGCCCAGCTTCCGGGCGAGGCCGAGCCCTGCCGCGCTTCCTCGGCTGCCAGGCGCGTCCCAGTTCGGAGCAACGCCTTGCGGGACGGCGTGACGGCGGACACGGTATTCTGCAAGTACACGGATGTAGCTGTGGCGGAAGCACCGTGTGCAGGAGGCAGATCCACCCGGAGCGGGTGTCTGCTCCAGGAGGACGACACGCTGCCCTTTCATGTCGCGGTGGTTCTTTGTCACAAACCCACCGGGGGCTGTCAGGTCACGTGGGGACGGTGCCACGCTGGGCGCAGGCTGCTCTCTGCTGCTGGCAGATGGACACGAGTGCTGGGTGGAGTCCATGTCCCTGAGCCCAGGCGTGACCTCCGTCCCTGCCACCATGGCCATTCTGTCCATGAGCCCCTTGGGTGACGACAGTGGTGGCTGGGGACGGAGGCCGAGTGGTGTCCGCCCGAGGGCCCTCCTGCCCACCTGATCGCAAAGACCCTCCTCTGCCGAGGCCGCCTGTTGGTCAGTGTTCACGCGGGACACACACATCCGGCACTTTGCACCTATCTGGAGAGGTCTGTCTAACGTATCTCTTCCCCAGACGCTCTCATCACCAATTTTCTGGTTGTGTTTCTCCCAAGTTCCTAACCGTCCAGCCCAAGCCCCGGCCACAGTGCCACGGCCGGCCACAGCCACCCACTTTGGGTGCAAAATGTCGAGTGAACCGTCTGCCAGCAGAGCCTGAGCCCCCTGGTTCCAGCGTCTGTAGGGGACCGTCCGTGAGCCAGGCTGCGGGTGAGGAGGAGAAGGCGCGTGGCAGCGTGGGCTGGGGCGCCTGGGTCGCGTCCTGGTGCAAACCTCGGGGCCTTCAGGGCCCGCTGAGCCCAGTCCCCTGGGCACCCCGCCCTTGCCGACGGGTGCTGTGTGCCACGTCCCCGACGCCCTCAGTCACACGGCGACTTGGTGGTCTGAGGTCGAGTGACTGGTCTTTCTGAGGCCCAGTGGCAGAGCATCGCTTGCCGCCGTCTGCGTTTGCAGCGGGTTCTGGGCAAACGGAGGCTGTGGCCTCGCAGGGCCACTCTCAGCCTGGACGGACCCGTTCCCAGGAAATGTGGGTCTCGCCGAGCTCCCGGCTGGGGCTCTGGGACTCTGCGTGGCGCCGAGGAGCGGTGGTGGCACGAAGGCTGTGGGTGTCTCCTCTGCCAGGGCATGTGCTGCGTCTGCACAGAGCACAGTTCAGAGGGAAAATCGTCAAGCGTTTTAAGACGTGGACAGCCGCGCATTGACGCGGACGCGGAGCTGCTGGGGGGGGGTGGGCTATGTGACTCGTGGACCGTGAGCCCCGTCCTGTGCTCCGTCCCCGCCCTGTGTGCTGTCCCCATCCTGTGTGTTGTCCCCTCCCTGTGCTCTGTCCCCATCCTGTGTGCTGTCCCCACCCTGTGCTCTGTCCCCATCCTGTGTGCTGTCCCCTCCCTGTGCTCTGTCCCCACCCTGTGCTGTGTGCTGTCCCCACCCTGTGCTCTGTCCCCATCCTGTGTGCTGTCCCCTCCCTGTGCTCTGTCCCCACCCTGTGCTCTGTCCCCATCCTGTGCGCCGTCCCCGCCCTGTGAGCTGTCCCTGTCCTTGTGCTGTCCCCTGCCACTGGGACAGATGACGCCGGGGCCTCAGGCAGTTTGCTCCAAGCCTCCCCATTCGGGGGCTGTGGGTAGAGCCAGGTGTCACCACTGGCAAACCCTGCAGTCGACCCGTCCCCCGTGATGACAGTCGTTTCATGTCTGTCCCTGTGAAATGGACTTCGGCTAAGGGACTCGGCTTCCGCACTGACCCGCATGGCGGTTTCAGAGGCTTTCTCTGTGGTTCAGAGTGACAGAAATTGCCTGCTGCCAAACCATCCCAGGTTTCCGCACGGAGCACAGGTATTTCCAGCTGTCAGATGCTGGGAAAGCGTGTTTCTTGGAAAGGGGGCTTGTGTCGCCTGCCTGACCCCATGAACCCTGCGGTGCTGTTTTCTAGAAAGGGCCTTTCTAGGACAGGCCTGTGATGTTACCAGGATTTGACAACTGTTTGTCAGGCCGGGGCGGGGCGCAGGAAAGCGGCCTGGGCCCAGAGAGGCCTCCCCACGAGGAAGTGAGAGTTGGAGGCAGACGCCGGGGAGCCCTGACCCTCAGCCGCTCTGCCCGCGGGGGCTCTGCGTGGAGGTGGGAGGCGGAGGAGGAGGTGGGGGAGGTGGGGCCCACCTGCAGGGGACATTCACGCTGGGTTTGAAGGTCAGACGGACAAGACGAACCGAGCAGCGGAGGCGTCGCGAGATACTGGGGCCAACACATGGGCACACGGAGGAGCCTCCGCTTGTCGGGACGGAGGCTGAGCCCGGGGCGCCAAGCTGGGTGTGGGAAGCCCCGAGAGGCTGCTCGCTCTGGGGGTGGTGCCCGGCTCCAGGCTGCGTCCTGCTGTGAGCCGGGTCCTGACGCCCTGCAGGGTCTGCCCTGCGCCCCCTGGGCCTCGTGGCATCCTGGGCCTTCTCTCCAGCCGCACGCGGTCCTCGCTCCCCGTGGCCGACCATGTCCTTTCCAGTGTGCTCTCCCCTATCCACGGTGTCCTCGTGAGAGGTGACACGATACCCAGGGCAGGTGCTCCCAAGGGTGGACTCCGCTCTTCTCCCTTGCCTTCCGTTCTTTGTCCTTCTGGGCTGGCCGGGAGCACACGCTACATGCGGTTCACCCAGTTAGGTCTTTGGCTGCGCAGTTTTCCAGGAGAGCGGGTGTCCACACGACGCTGCTGGTTTCCATACGAACATTCTCACGCTTCCCGCCCACCCAGGCGGAGTCGCTGGGGCTCACGCCGCTTGTTCACGCCACACTGCCGCGAAGGAGCCGGCGCTGCCGTCGTTCTGGTCCTCAGAAAACTGAAAGTTGTTGAGCAGAAACCCGCGTCCTGCTCAGGAAATGGCCCTGGACCGTCAGAGTGAGCGTGGCTCTGGCCATGAAGTGCCCGAGGCTCGACGTGGCCGTCGTGCTGGGAAGCCAGGTCCACGGAACTTCATGGAAACAG